GTATACAATATAATGACATTCATCATTGGAAATTTGCACCTTTACCTAATCTCTCTTGGTTCTTATTTTTCCCCCTTCCCCTGCCCTCCCTTCAACCCCTCCATCCCTCCCTATTTACAAAGACTTTGTTTCCATTTTTTCATTTTCTCATATTGATTCCATTCCCTTCTTTCCTTTCCCCTACTCCTCCTACTTCTCCTTCCCCTTTGCCCCTTTTCTTCCTATTTCACATTATCTTTTATACTTTTTAGTCCTTACACTTTCAGTTTCTCACACTAGAGAAGCTATTCAGTATTTACACATGTGTGTCCTATTTATTTCACTTAAGAGTATCACCTCAATGTGCATCCATTTAGCTATAAATGTCTCTAATTTCCCATTTTTATGGCTAAGTAGTACTTCATTTTATTTTTTTAAAACCACATTTTCTTTATCCAGTCTCCAGTTGATGGACAATTGGGCTGCTTCCAAGTTTTAGCTATTACAAATTGTGCTGCTATGAACATGGATGCACATATATCACTGTGGTATGATTCTTTTAATTCTTTTGGGAAGATACCCAGCAGGGAAATAGCTGGGTCAAATGGGACTTCCAGTCCTAGTTGTTTGAGGTATCTCCATACTGATTTCCACAGTGGTTGCACCAGTCTACACTCCCACCAGCAGTGGAGCAGGGATCCTCTTTCCCCACAGCCCCGCCAGCATTGGTTATTGGTTGATTTCATGATAGCAGCCATTCTTTCTGGGGTGAGGTCTCAGCGTTGTTTTCATCTGCATCTCTCGAATGACCAGTGATGTTGAACATTTTTTCATATGTTTATTTGCTATTTATAGTTTTACTAGTTTACATTCCCACCAACAATGTAGGAGGGCTCCTTTTTCACCACAGTCTTGCCAACATTTGTTATTTTTGTCATTTCTTGATGACTGGTATTCGTTCTTGTGTAAGATGGAATCTCACTGCTGTTTTAATTTGCATTTCTTTAATAGGCAGAGATGTCAAACAGTTTTTCATGTATTTATTGGCCATTTGTTCTTCCTCTGTGAAGTCTGTTCATTTTACTTTCCCATTTCTTGATGGGGTCTTATATTTTAGATGGTCTAATTTTTTTGTGTGTCTTATACTGCAAACACATACTAATAAAAAATTTTTTAAAAATAAAGAAGGGACATTGGGCTTACATTATTATAGACAGGTAGCTCCCTTTCACTTAATGCCTTCCAAAAAGGAGATGACAAAACCCCAAGTTCAATTATCGATGATTTATTATTATCTGGTGAGCAAGATATTCCTTTTAGACAATAAAGAAATCATTTTGGTATATCCAAATTAGGAAACCCAATATAGTAATTAAAATCATGTTTTAGGGAGATGTTTATTATTATTATAATAAAAAGATTAACAATATGCTAAAAGAAAATTAGAATGTATCCATCAGTATATTCAGTATAAAGTGTGGTTTGTAGAGGGAAAATGGAACAGAAATAACTAGAATGAAATCCACTAAATTATTGAAAGTAGTGCTGATTGCTAAGTGATTCGAATCATGCCCAGTTTTTACTTTCATCGCTGTGATTTTTCTCTACTTTCTCATAGTTCTAAAATGAATATGTATTCTTTTTCTAGTCATGGAAATTGTTATTTTTAAAAGAATAAATCAAAACTCATAAATACAACTAAAATGTTTTAACATGAAAAATTAGATAATACAAAAGGAAAATAGTTCAAACACATACACAAATCATGTTAGCTTAAAGTAAGACACAAATAATTATTAATAATGGCTATAAAATTATATGGTGCAGGCAACAAGTTAACTGAGGATTTCTCGAGGGTGGGAGCCGTGTCCAAGGAACAGTTTGTAGTAGTGGTTGCATGAGGTTCCAGAGCCAGGCAACTTGCTGTGGTTAAAGTCCTGGCTTTGCCACTCTGTAGTTGTTTAACCTTGAATGAAATCCTTTCATTTCTTTAATCCTCAGTTTTTTCATCTGCTTAAAGACTTGTAGAGGTAATGATAATAAATCCTAGATTTCTGTGGGAGTCAGTTATACAGAGCATGGCAAATGCTCACTACAGCTGAGTCCCTGGCAGTGCTGCATGGATGAAGGACTGAGCTGCTCTGAAATTCGAGTGAGGCTGGAGGAGCCAGGGAGACTGGAATGGTCAAGGGGAACCTAGAAAGGGCTAGGATGGAGGGCATGTGAGAGCTCTGTCCCCTTCCTTGGAAGCACTGTCGAAGGACCTGGATTCTAATGATGGCAAGGTAGTTAACCTGTCCTGGACTCTATGTTCTTAACTGCTGTAGGGACATAATAAGGCTTTTTTGCCTAACTTATAAGGCTTGCTATACTAACAAAATAGATTTATTCCTGCCTTAAATTAATAAGTGATTCCCGAGCCCTCTACTCTGTACTAGACAATGGATTATGTCCTGTAGCTATGATTGTGAGAATAACAGAGGAAAATTCCTGTCCTTGTGGAGTTTAGATTCTAGTATGGAACAGCTTGATGAAATAATAAATAAGATAAATAAGTTTAAGATATAGGACATGAAGTGCTGTTGAGAGTTGTGGAAAAAAATGGAGCAAGAGCAGGGTAAAGGAGGTGAGTTTAATTTTAGCAAGAGTTCCAGAAAGGCCTTACTGGAGGGGAAATGGCATTTAAGTAGACACATGAGAGTGCAAACTGTGCTGGCATTTGAAAGAAGAGGATTCCAGGCAAAGGAAATAGTCAGAGCAAAGGCCCTGAGGCAGTGAGTGATTATTGTATCAGAAGCAAGGTGTTTAAGGAGAGAGTGGAGAGGGGAATAGTAGGAGAGGTGCAAGATGAAAGTGCAGAAGTAAACAGACGGGTCTTTGCTCCAAGTAAGATGGGATGCCATGGAGGACTGCAAGCAAGGGCCTGCCATAATTTGGTCACGCATCACCAGGCTACTACTGTCTGCTTTTTGGCAAATATAGTGGAAAGAATCTAGTGGGAGAGCGAGGAGACCTTTTGAGAGTTGTTGCAGTTATCAAGTGAAAGCCAAGGCAGAAGATTAGCAGCCAAGAAATGGTAACATCAGGTTAATAGGAAACCACTTTGACAAGTTGCTTTTCAAATATAAGATGGTGGCCAAATGGTGCTCAGGGAATGGCACAAATAAAAACATAAACCCAGTGGGTCAGATGACACTGGTCCACACTGCCATAGACTGAACTCTGTTGTTCCATATGGGTTATAAAGAGAAATTCAGCAAGAAATGAGCTATTGGTCCAGCTTGAGCTTAAGTTTCCAGTCTTTGTCATAACAATCAGAACACAGAAGCATGGGAAGAGAGTCATGTTTCTCCCTGTCTTATTTGTTTTCCATTTTCAACAACCGTTTCCTTCAAATTTAAACCACTTCTACTCCTCCAATTCTACCTCAGAGACATTCCTTCTAGATCTAGAGGTGACATAAAGCACAGGTTGGCCAAGAAAGAATCAAAACTCTGTGTGCCTCTCCTTTCATTCTCTAGAAAACTTCACATCAACCATCTAAGATAATCCAGCACACTCCAAGGCCACTTCTTGCTAACTGACATGCTTTTCTCCTCAACAATCCTTTAGATCCTAAAAAGCTTAATCAACCCAAATTACAGGGTCTGCTTAATTCCAGGGGTTGATTTGAATATCATTGCCTTGGGAGAAGGAAAAACAACCCTTTCTTAGTAGAAAATTTCCTATTAGCAGGACTGTTCTCCAAAGCATGTCCTTGGCAGCCCATTAATTATATTTCATTTTGACAGATCTTGTGTATAGTTGTTATATCTTTAGGAGGGGAAGAAGGTGTTGGGTGATTAATTGGTTGATAGTGTATGTTAATTGGATGCTAATTAAATTTAAATTTAATTCATATTTGAAACACTTAATTTAACTCAGGACCAGGAAATTAGAATATTAGAGCTTCTTGAAGGAACTTGTCTTTCTATCTGTCACCTTCCTATCTCTATTGACACTTTCTCCCTGTTTACAAACTTGTTTTTCAAGAGAAGAAATCAGACGGTCCTTAGAGCTTCCAGCTATAATAAAAAGTGTTGGTTCTTGCAATCCATACAGATTTAATTGCTTTCCTAAAAAAAATCATGTATCTCCACCCTGTTACTTAAGTTTATTCTGAACAAGTCCCATCAGGCTGGAAATGGTGCTGTCTGATTCCTTCCCTTTGGCTTGGTAGTTGAAGGAACTTGTCCAAAGGACAGTCTGTATTTAGTGTCCTTAGAGGCACTGAGATGCTCCCATAGGGGACCAGAGAAGGGAAGAGAGAGGAGGGTGCCTTCTGTGACACTGGAAACAGCTGAGAAATTCCCTAACACTGTTGTTTCTGTTCCCATCAGGGAAAGCCCCATACGATGAACTCTCTGGAAAGTCTGTTTGCAAAATATGCAAACAGATGGTCTGGGATAGAAGGGGGCTCCACCAGGCCTGGCACGAGAGCCACAGCCTTTGTGCCCCTTTGCTGTCTTGGGGAGAAAGAATAAGCTGACCCAGGATTGCTATTTGTAGATTTCCTTGGGAAGAGAGTACCTGGCCTAGGGACTACAAGGGCATATTCAATTTCTAATCTAAAAACAAAGGACTGGGGACCACAGAAATGACAAAAGAAGCAAGAGCTTTGAACTTTATCTGCTCTGGTTTCTATCCTGGCTTTTGTAATGTTACTTAGTTCTCCTAACCCTCAATTCCTTCATCTAGGAAATAGGAAGCTATACTAATCTCTGGGTCACGTTGTATGAATTAAATGGGATAATAAACATTTGCAAAAACCTAGCACAGTGCATGGAGTAAGACATTCAGTGGGTCCTGTCATCATACTGTCTACTAACTGCCAGCTCCACCTGGTGCTGTGGAATGGCTGAACCTACTAATGGTGGTTATTCTTGTTTGCACACTCAGTGGCTTGTCCTGGACAAGTATACTATCTCAGAATTGGTCTATGAGGTTTAAATCTCTCCCTCACTGCCTGAATCTTTCCTCAGCTGTCCTGGAGAAACCTCTAGAAAAGAAAGCTGGAAGAAATTATGGGCCCCCAGGGAACAAGAAGCTCATCTATTTCATTGATGACATGAATATGCCTGAAGTAGATGCCTATGGGACAGTACAGCCCCACACCATCATCAGGCAGCATCTGGACTATGGCCACTGGTAAGAGCTCATTCATTGAGGGGGCTAGACCTCAGGCAGGCTGCTGAAACGGCTAATCTCAGCTTGGCTCCCAGCTGAGAGTCCACAGGGTCGGTCACCTCCTCGTGGGATTCTCTGTCTTCTGAAGTGCCCTCTCAGCAGAGCCACTGAAGTTCACAGGAAAGATCCTGCCAGAGAAGGGACCCCACTCTCCTTTAAGAAAGAAACCTCCCCTTTTCTTCAAGACTCATCTCAATGATTGTTAAAGATCAGATCAGGGATGGTGTATGTGTTGCGGTGGAGTGGAGGTTGGAAAAAGGGAAGCTGGATTTTATCAGTGTGCACTAAATCCAGATAGAGAATTATCACACTGAACCCCATTAATGAGTACAATTAATATATGTTAATTAAATTTTTTAAGCCATGGAATAACATAAGATCAGAAAGAAATGACTCATCTCAAAAGCTGGGTTCTCTGGAAGCCCTCCCCAAGTCTCAAAAGCAAGATTAACCACTCCCTGCTACCATGGTCTCACAGCATGGAGGAGGTGAGCCATGACAGCACCCAACCCACTGTGTCTGCAGACCTTCCAGCCTGCATCTCTGATGCACAGGATCTGTTGTTCTCTCTTGCAACAGTACAGGTCTGAAGGCTAGGAGAAGCCAGTGATTTGAAACAACTTTGGTCCTCCTTCCTATCTCACATTGTATCAGATGCTGAGAAACAATGGGGAATGGGAAGAGGGAATTGAGAGGAAGGACTATAGGGAAGATGCTAATTGAGTTAGTTCCTTCCAGAAGTGTGCGTTGGATGCCTGCCGCTTACAACCAGCCTCCATTTTCACTTTAGTATTTGAGCAACTTAACTGTACTGAAAAAAACAGTCAAACTAACTAGTTTTACTTTAGATTTATTGTCACAAGTCTTAAATGGGAATTAGAAACTTCCTGTAAATTTTGCCGCATTGTTTTCTCTACTTACATGTTGTCTTTCGGAAACATCCATTTCATATCTTCTCCTCTCTCAACATCCTCCATCACCTCAGCTGAGGGCTTTGCCTATTCAGAGAACACCAATCCCAGCTCCATCTCTTGCTTCCACATCCATACAGCATGCTTGCATCCTTTGTTCTGCTTTCCTACCTTCTTGCCTCAGACTTAACCACTCACTTGCATCCTGATTCTACTGACTATAACCCTCAGTTCATCGGCTAGTTCCTCCAGCTCCTTATTGGCTCTCCTTTGTCTTGTAACTTGCATAAATGTCTTCAACTGTCTTTAAAAAAATCATTTTTCAATTGCTGTTTTGTTTCTCCCCATACATAACCAAACGTCTCTGTTCTCTCCTCATTTCCTTGTCTCCCACTCATTCATTAATCCCCTATTATTTGATTTCTATTCCTTCCACTTTACTGAAGTGTTCTTGCTGAACTATCACCTGCACTGTTAGTGCAAAATCTGGGGGACCTTCTCGGAGTGCTGGCTTTCTTTGCTGCATTTCATGTGGGTGACCACTCTCTGCTTTGGAAATGCTGATCTCCCCTGCCTTCTGGGCTGACACACACCTCTGAGTTTCCTCTCACCTTTAATCCATCCCTGTGCTCCCTCCTTTCTGTTCTACTTCCATAGATACTGGGTTCCTCAGAAGAATGTCCTAGGCTCTTGTCTCTTCGGTTTCTATCATTGAATCTGGTTTGTTTGTCTGTCTGTTAGCTTGTTTTAACCACCCAAACACATGAATGATAAGGCACACCCTACCTCACATGGATGAAACATCTGCCTGCCTGGCCCTCCCTCACACTACTCTCACCGGAGGTTTCTGTTTCAGGTATGATCGGAACAAACTGTCCCTAAAGGAGATCAGGAATGTACAGTATGTTTCCTGTATGAACCCCACCGCGGGCAGCTTCACCATCAACCCACGGCTTCAGGTATGGGAGGAACCGGGTGTGGGTGGGAGCTGGGCCCTCATGCTACCTTATCAGAGCTGATGTCACTTGGTTTTAGGTAATAATTGGCCTTTTCCCTGTGCAGCCACTCAGTGTGGATAACCAGGTAGGATGGTTTTTTAGGGGAGATAGAGAAACTCCTAGATCCAGGGTCACAAAATTTTTAGAGCTGGAATGGATCATAGGGTTCATTTGATTCAGCTCTACATTCTTCAGATGACGGAACTGTTGAGGGACGAAATGACTTTCCCAAGGTGATATGAGCACTCAGTATCAAGATCATGTCTGGTCTCAGATTCTCTTCCTGCTCTCTATGTAACCATCTTTCACCAGAAGTCCAAAGCCAATAGTCATTTCAGGTTCAATCCCACTTTGGGTATAACATGACAAATGTGACTGGAATGTAGAACTCAAAACCTTTATAGGAATTCTTCATTTTCTTAGCTGAATCTGGAAGAGGTAGTTTTATCCCATAATAAGGACATCTCATTTTTGCTTCCCGTGCAGCGCCACTTCAGTGTGTTTGTCCTCTCCTTTCCGGGAGCAGATGCCCTCTCCTCCATCTACAGCACCATCCTGACCCAGCATCTGAAGCTGGGAAACTTCCCAGCCTCCCTGCAGAAATCCATCCCCCAGCTGATCAACCTGGCTTTCACCTTCCACCAGAAAATTGCCACTACCTTCTTGCCCACAGTGATCAAATTCCACTACATTTTCAATCTCAGAGATTTTGCCAACATTTTTCAGGTGAGTTCATCTGCTCTGAGTCACCTGGAAGGATGAGATCCAGAGTCTTCCTTTCTTTCTTTTATTAAGTGCTGCATACAATGTTTACAAAATACTGAGTTTCATCTGAGTGGCATTTTCATTATGCATATATGCATAGGACATATTCTGTTCCTATCCATCCCCCTACTACCTAGCTTACTCCCTGCTCCCCCTGCCTCCTTCTGATTCTCTTCCTCTATTAATCTTTCTCCTATTTTCTGTCATTTTTTTAATTCCACATACTGGCGGAAACATGTGATACTTGCCTGAGTCTTATTTCACTTAACATGACAACCTACATTCATTTTTTCCTGCAAAAGACATGGTTTTGTTCTTCTTTATGACTGAGTAATACTCCATTCTGTAAGATATACCACATATTCTTCATCCATTTATCCACTGATGGGCACCTAGGCTGGTCCATACCTTGCTTATTGTGAATTGTGCTGCAATGAATATGTGTATTTAGATATCAGAGTCTTCCATTCTTAATAAAACAAACAGTGAATGCTAAACTCTTAGGCAAAGACAGTTTATATGAAGTCATGAACATAAACAGGAAAATAGTGCTATTTGCTCCATGGAGAAGACCTCAACAAAATAGAGCTTTATTTGCAGCCTACATTTTTTCTTCATGAAGAGAATGTGTTTCTGAGTTGGTTCTTTTGGATTCAAGAAGGCTCAGCATCCTGGAAATCATGTCATATAATGACTCCAGCATGCCTGGGAAGGAAAAGGGCACAAAAGAAATAAAAACTATTTTAGAGCCCCTGGTGATACACCCATTGTTCTTGGAATGAAAAAGAATGTTCCCCAAACCATGCAAAACAGAAGTCATGCCGTAACACCTGCCATCCCCTGAGACAGACAACCTCAGTCCAAAAAACAGCAATTCATTTCCAAACCAAAGCCATTTCAGAACCTTTGGATGCTCATTTGATCGCCAATGGCCTGTCCACCCATTGCTTCCTATCACTTGACCCATCACTGTTAGAACGCCAGATCAAGCACAATATCCTCACATGGTAGATTCCACAGATCTCCCATCCTGAACCAGGATCTGCCACTACTCCTTTCCAAAGAGATTCCTTCCCCAAGCTAGCACTGAGTTATTGTGGAGGGAGACATGCCTTTTATACCAAGCAGAGGTGAGACTAAAGGGCCAGTGCCCAAATGAAGTAATCAGGCAGCGATATGACCAGCCACATGCATACATGTAGTTGGAATTAACTGTCCAGGCTATTTTCTGTGCAGCTAAGACCCTGGGGAGCCTCAAATCAGCAAAGACACAGACCCTGAAGACATGGAGCCAGCAGATTCCAGACAAGACTCTTGGTTGTAAGAAGCAGAAATTGCTAAATGCTGGTTCAGTGATGCAAGAGCCATGAAAAGATTAATGGGAAGGGGAAGCTATGGAGCCCCATGGCTTGGTAAAGTTTCTGAGAATACATCTAGGCTGGCTAAGAACAGTATTCTTGGACCAGATTGATGCCCAGACATTAATTCATTTTAAAAATAAAGAAAAGGAGACCCACACAGATCAAACAGATTGTCTCTGAGTACACAGTCAATTAATAAAGGTCCTGCCATCTAGGTTCCTTACCTGGACCATTTCCACCACACCATTCTGCTCTTCTCATCTGAACTTCTGTTGAGGAAATAAGCATAGGATGGCGAAGACTGCAAGACAGATTCAGCTCTAAGCCTGTAATGCCTGCAGCATTGTGGCTTCCAGGAATCCACTGTGGCAAAACTTATACTTACCCACAATTAGAATGAGAATTAACTGAGATTAGTGTTTACTACACAATATCTCTCTTGAATATCACTGCTACACTATAGAGTGGGGGTGGGAGTTACTGTCTACATTTTTGGAATGAAAAGAAGGATTTAAATTAGTTTAACCCAGTTTAAATTGGTCACAACTGGCAGCACTAAAGTGAGAAGAATAAGTGAAGTTCCTTTCACCAGAAGCAACCCAGAGTCAGCTCCTGTTGGGACAGCCACCCTGTCTCCCGTGCAACTTGAAATTCACTACTCTCAAGAACCCTTTGGGATCAATGTTATTGTCCCATTTCATCAGAGGCTCAGAGAGAGCACTAGCTAGTAGATGTCAACACAATGGTCATGGAAGCAGAAAACTAGGAATGATGTTAGAGAAATAGCTAGTAATTTAGCTTGATAGGGATGGGGAAATCTGGAGGGGTTTGATGAGAGATGAAATTGGAAGATAATTTAAGACCAGAATAAGCCCTAATTAAAACTCTGACCTTAGTCTATAATAATAGCCAAATCGTATGGCACTCAGCACTAACCCTTTTACTTTCATTAACTCATTTAATCCACACAGCAACCCAGGAATACTGACTGCAGACCTCTGTATCCATGGTTTCCACATTGGTAGATTTAATCAACTGTGAATCAAAATTATTTTTAAAATTGCATCTTTACTGAACATGTACATTTTCTTTCTTTTCATTATTCCCTAAATAGTAGAGTATAACAACTACTTACATAGCATTTCCATTGTACTGGGTGTTATAGGTAATATAGAGATGACAAAATATATAGGAGGAAGTGTGTAAGTTATATGCAAACATTATTCTATTTTATATGGGGCCTTGAGCATCCATGGATTTTGGTAGCTGAGGGGATCCTAGAAGCAATTCCTAACAGTTACAGAGAGACAACTGCATTTCCAATTTGGAGAGGACAAAACTGTGACATAGACAAATCAAGCACCTTCACCTCTACCACATAAATGGCAAGCAGAAACACTGATAGCCACAACTGGAACCTTCAGCCCCACCATGTAGGCACTTAAGGGCAACAAAAGGCTTCCTGAGGAAAGAGTGCTCTGTCTCAATCTTGTTTTAATGGTAACTGGTACAATGTCAAGGAGGAACCAGAGAGCACAGACAGCAGAGGGTAGCTGAGCCTCTTGTTTTCTTTCCCTTGCCTGTTGCTTATTCCTCCTGGCCTACAGCCTGAGTGGCAACGCCCTGGCTCTGTCAGCCACCAGCTGTCAAGTTGGAGAGTGGGTTCTTGCAGGAGCATGGCTTCCTTTCAGTGGCACAGCTTCTGGCTCTCCTCCTACAGAGATGAGTTTCTAGTTCAGAACAGGACCATGGCTTCTCCCCACCTTACTTCATCCCTGCCTGTCTGCTTCTCTGAAGGCTTGATGGAAGAGATTAAGGGGATGGCGCCTGCCCAGTAGGGGACAGACACCACTCAAGGAACCCAGCTTAATCCAAACCTCAATCTTTCCATGCACTTCTCTTAAATCCATCCATATCAGAAAAGAATTTGGCAGTACCATGAGTAGCAGAGATCATTAACTAATGTTCCCATCCCAAGACTACACATAAGTATCTAAGACACGACAAAGTTTGCACTTAACATTGTCTCATTCACTCACCCTTTACTGTCAGTCAGCCTGACTGTGCTTATAACAGAAATTATAAAAATCAAGTGATACAAAAAAAAAATCAAGTGATAGCTCACCTTACTGTCAAACACAAAATTCCACAAGCTGGGATTCCTGGCTAGTGTTTTTTCCTGACCTCTTCATTTTCTGTATGACTGATATTTAGGATATTGACAAGCTGAAAGAGGCTGGGATATGCATTGGGTGGAACAAAAAGAACTTAATGGAACATTTTTCTTTTTATAAACTTTCATTAACATACAACATACAGGGGCCGGGGATTTAGCTGAGTGGTTCCACCGCCTGCTTTGCAAGCACAAGGTCCCAAGTTTGATCCCCGGTACCAAAAAAAAAAGAAAGAAAAACATATAACATACAGATAGAAAAATACACACTCCAGAGTATCCAGCTTGGTTAACTATCACAAAGTGTAACAAAGTGTCCACACAAGTCAGATAAAAAAAAAATAGACAATTCCCAGTATCCCCAAACTCCTTTCTTTTTCTTTCTTCCAATCACTCTTTCCTTCTCCAGCCTTAAATGCTACATAGATTTCTAACACAATACATTATTTTGAACTATTTCTGAGCTTTACACAAAAAATATTAGCAAATATCAGTTTGTATCTTTGTTCGATATTATGCTTATACTTATATTTTCAATCAGATTGTTAGTTTAAAAAGCATAGGTGCTGGGGATTTGGCTCAGTGGCACCGCACCTGCCTCGCAACCATGAGGTGCTGAGTTTGATCCTGGGTACCAAAAAAAAAAGCATAATTACATTTCTTCCTTTCTATTCTTAAATCTTTTCTTTTTCTTGTCCTATTGTGCTGGCTACAATTGCCAGTACAATGATGAAAATGGCATCTTGTCACATTTCTAATTTTAAAGGGAAACCCTTTTGATAGTTTGTCATTAAGGGAAGTGTAGTGCCAACTTAAGAAAATTTCTTTCTACCTATAAATTTCCTAAGAATTTTTTTGGGGGGGGTACTGGGGATCGAACTCAGGACCTTGAGCTTGCTAAGCAGGTGGCAGAGCCACTGAGCTAAATCCCCGGCCCCTTTCCTAGGAGTTTTAATCACAAATGTGTGTGAAAACTTAACTGGCTTTCCTGAAAATGTTGAAATAATTATATCATTTTTCTCCTTTATTCTGGCAAAGTGATCAACTTCACTGATGAGTTTTAAATGTTAAATCAACCTTGCATTCCTAGAATCAACTCAAAGTGACTGTTACATGTTGTCCTCTTAATATTTTCTTGGATTCCATTTGCTGTTTTTTCTGTGTAATTTTTACACCTATATTTGTAAGATTGTCTTGTAGTTCCCATGATTTTACATTCTCAATCATTACCTAGATCAGTTTTCAAAACAGCACTTGTAAAATACAAAAGTAGCAGAGAAATCACCTCCAGCCTCGCTGTTGTGATTTGAAAAATATTAGTTAAAATTATAGTCAATAAGGTTGAAAGACTTAGTTTCAAAACTTTGTAGCTTTGAGGTGGGACAACTAATTCTGTTGCCATTTTTCTGGATCCTAGTCTCCACTTTTGCAAAATAATGGATGCAGTAAAAGTTATTTCATAAAATCATCATGAGGATTGAATAACATTGTCTTGCAAAACATCTAGTTCAGTGGCTGTCACATAAATGGATTCAAATTAGTTATAGGTTAATTATAGATTATAGATTTTTATAATCACAAAGCAATAATTTTAATTGATTATATGGGGTGAGACACACTAGCTTCCTTAAGGCATATTAATTTGAATTATTTCAACAACTCTGGAAAATCAATATTGTTCCTTCAGTTTAAAGAGTGAACAAACTAAGATTCAGAGATGTCACAGGCCTTACTCAAAGTCACACAGTTGCTGTGATTGCGAAAGTATTTGAAGTCAGATCCATCTGCTTCTAACACCTGGATCTTTCCCCACAAGCTCTTTCTCAACATCCAAGGGTCCATTCACTGTCATATACTCTTTGGTGAGCCAATTCCCAGGCATTACCCAAGGTTGGGCAAAATGCTCCATAAGGTTTTTTGTTTGTTTAATTTTTTTTAGCTGGTTGTACCTCTGAAATGTTACTAATGTGAAGGGTTTTGTTTGTTTGCTTGTTGTTTTATTTTGTTTTTTGGTCTGTTCTCCTTGAAGGGCATTCTTTTCGCCTCAGTAGAATGTGTAAAATCCATACAGGATCTAGTAAAGCTCTATCTTCATGAATCAAATCGGGTTTATCGGGATAAGATGATGGAAGAAAAGGACTTTGATCTCTTTGATAAAATCCAGACAGAAGTACTCAAGAAAATCTTTGATGTAAGTACTGCCTTGTGATTATTTTCATATTTAAAAAAGTAATTTATAACTATGCAGATGATTACCAAATGACACAATCTAGTCCATTCATTGGGAAAAGGTCAGAGATTAGGTTAAGAAAAAAACTTTTATCATTTTTTCCCAGGCTACACATATAGGAGCAAGAATAAACACAAATTAGTCATGGATCTCAGAACAACTAGCCCAAGGGTCCACACGATCCTGAGTTATCTCTGCAGCATTTTCCAGGTTGGTCGCCCTAGTGATGGCCCAGCGTCCCTGGGACGCACCACCTCACCTTTCCCATCGTAGCCATTTGGGAAGTGCTAACAACTGGAAATATGGAACAATTCTGAAATTTGGAACCATTTTGAAGACTGGAAATTCAGTCTAATAATGACTTAAGATTCATTTCCTACCCCATTAACTCTAGGCCAAATCCAAACTTTCAAATAGTTTGTGAACATTTATCTTGGCCTCATTTAGTCTTCCCCCCTTCAATCCACAGAGTCAACTTCTTTTAACTGTTTCTGATGCATTGTTTTCAAACCCAGAGAAAAATAACATCATCTTGATTGCTCTGTCAACCATTCTTTCCTCTGAAATTGTGGTGCCTGACTTTTGTCACCCAGCTGTGGTCTGACCAAAAGCAAGATCATCATTTCTCCTTTTCTTAAGTACTATAGCTCTGTTACTGTGTCTCCCAAAATACATTCTGTTAGACAGTTGGGAAGAAGGCATCTATGATGAAATGAGTGGGGTTAGTACTTTGTATTTTATCCCCCTTTAGGAATTTTGCCCTGCATTTAGCACATTAAAACCCAGAAATCTGGAGCAACCCTGATTCACATACCATTTTGCAAATGTATGGAACCCTGAAACTCTTTTCCCTTCACAAAACCTATTAATAATTTATAAAATTACGGAATATGTCTTGGGAAACACTGATAAAGTAACACCTCTGGAGGTTATAGTACATTTCTTAGCATCAAAATTACCTCTGTAATTAACAATGACCCTATTGATCAAAGTCTACTGTTTATTATCCTTGCTTGAGCTGAGTGTTAATCAAGGCTTGTATATAATTGTGTCATATTGCCCCTAATTCATTAGTGTTTTTTTCTTTTCTGTCACTGTAACAAAACACCTGAGTCTGGGTAATTTACAAAAAAAAAAGTTTTGTTTGGATTATAATTTGGGAGACTGACAGTCTCCTGGCAGTTTCCTGTCAATTCAGCCCCTGGTGAGGGACTTACGGTGGATGGCACCACAGTGGGAGGAACTTGTGTGGAAGAGACTATGTGATGAGTCAGGAAATGGGAGGGATTCATGGGTCAGCTTCACTCTCAGTAACAAGCCGTGCTTGTAAGAACTGCTACTCACTCCACAAGATCAGCATCAATCCCTTCAGAGAGCATCCCCTCAATGACCTAATCACCTTCTGTTAAGCCCCACCTCTGAAACGTCCTACCACATCTCCCACAGCCACACCAGGGACCAAGCTTCCGACACATGAACCTTTGGGAGAAAAACAACATCCAAACCATAGCACTCACTGGTTCAGCTACATATTTTTTCCTCATAAGATCCTGGATCTATCTCTGAAGATATTTACAGTATCCCAACCTGTATATAGCAGTCTTTCAAATGGTCAGAGAGAATTTTAAGTACCTTGTTTCAGTGTGCATTTTACTGGGCTGAACACCCTAAATTCTTCTATTTCACTCATCATTTTTATGGGGCCTGAGGTTCAGAACTCTTACATCTTAGATGCCCTTCTCTGAGCATTAGAGAGTTAGCCAATTTATATATTCATTGCTCACTCCACAAATAAGACTTGCTTGTCTCCATAAGTTGGTCTGAGAAAGCATTTTAAAGTAACAGCACTCAGTTTTTGAAGGAGAGCTCCTTCAGTGGATTTGTACAAGAAGGGGAACATCCTTTTGATCATAGACCCAGCTAAAATGAAGAGTACCATTTTCTTTCCCCAGCAACACTTCAAATGCCAGCCTAAAATGCCCTTGCCTGCAGCAAATCTTGGTACTGGTAAAGGAAAGTTGCCACATTTCCATCCAAGAAGTGATACAGTCCTGTTTCCACCATCAAAAGCTTAATGTTCTCTGATTCATACCCCTGTGTGATATGGCATCACTTAATAAGGAATCTTCAATTCACCATGTTGGTTGTTTTTCCTTTTCTTTCCCTTCCACATAGCATGGTTCTGATTGTAAAACTGGAGACTTGTTTTGCACATTAAAGAATCCTTGTAGACCAAGGTTTATAACACTGTATTTTTGTTTATCTTCTGCTAGATTCCTAGTACAAATTGATTGACATCATAACTGATCCCCAGTACGTCAGCCCTTTCCCAAACTGGGTAAATAGATGGATCTCCACATTACTTTTTGTGTGTTTTTCTAAACTAGCAAAAGTGACTCTCCTGTAGAGCATTTACATCTTATCCAAATTTCTGCACATTTATCATTACTCTCTAACAAAGCTACGATAGTTCAAGGGTTTTCTATGACTCTGAAACCACTTTCGGAATATTGAATAATAATTCATTGATATTTAACTCTTTCTAGTCCTTTATTCTTACTCAGGCAGCATTTTTGTATTCATTATTGCCCTTACTCTCCCTACATTGGATTTGGTGATCTTGACCCATGAGTGTGGAAGGCACTGGCTTATGCCCTGGGTCAGTGCCCTTACTGGTAAATAGCATACTGGTCACCCATTTCCCAGGTAGGTCTTCTGTCTGAACTTCAAGAGAAAATAACAACAGGTGAAGACAAAAACTTGAGCAGGCATAACTTCCCCTACTTGTGTCTTAGAAAACCTGTTCTTTCTTTGACTTGCCTCCTCTACATTTCTTACTACCTGAAGGCTCAGGTATTATATTTTGACAAGTTAATAGTTCTTTTTTGCTCCACTAATGTTAAATTTTAAAAATCCTCTTCAATACACAGAGAATAGATTTGTAGTAAAGAGACAGAGTGAGTCCACATCTTTAAAATTAGTTGAGTTATTTCTAGGTATTTATTGAATATGGTAACCTTTGGCTTGTGCATAAGATTTGAAACAAGGCAAGCAAATCCTCATGAAACTTTTTACAAATAAGAGGTTGTACTATAAGTGCTTAAGATTATCTTTGTCCCCACAAATAAACCAGTCACCTAAGGCTGGCTAATAGACCATTCTTCAGAAACCAAACCCTCTGGACAGAACCTATGATGTTAGGGTTCACAACCTATGGTGTACAGTTGGCTCCAACAGAAAACAGGAAAGGGCATCTGATGACTATGGTATAGATCAGGGAGAAAAACTTGTTGGAATGGATGTAGGAGAAATGAAGTCTTTGGGCCATGATTTCTTATATCCAACACTGGTAAGAGAGTCTAAACTTAGGGAAATCCAGCCATGTGTCCTTATCCAGTCTTATGATTACAGAAGCACTCTTACTACCCATATGAGGAGGCCACGTCTCACCCTCTATTTCCCATCCTCAGCCCACATGGGATAAAGAGTTCCATGACTTCATGGAACTGGTTTTTTTAAAAATGTTAAACATCCATTTTACATGGGCTTTTCAAGGCAGGAGGGAGTGTTGGAAAGAGCACCAATATTTAATTTTCAGGGAGTGTGCAGAGAGTGTGCAAATTTTTTAATTTTCAGGGAGTGCGCAAATCTGCTCTGTGTGAAATCAAAATTGAGAGTCAGTAAGAAAGCTCCTGTCTCATCACCAGGATATTGAAGAGACCCTGGAGCAGACCCGAAGCCTGAACATGTATTGCCACTTTGCAAACGGTATTGGTGAGCCCAAGTATATGCCAGTACAGTCATGGGAAGTGTTGACCCAGACACTGGCAGAAGCCTTGGAAAACCACAACGAGGTCAACACGGTGATGGACCTGGTTCTCTTTGAGGATGCCATGTGCCATGTGTAAGTGTGCTTCTCTTCCTGTTTTCCTCAGTTGCTTCCCCTTCCCAATGTCAGAGGTTTCATTTGGAGACAATTTCATAAAGCCAGAAAAGCAGTTACTGCTTCAGTCATGAAGGTCTAGATGGCTGCTGAAGGAGCAGCAGCTGAAATTTTTGCCCCTGGCCCTAGAAGGCAGCAGAATGCTGAACACTAATGGAACTGGATTATTTCCATGTCTGCCATTTACCATCCCTAGGCACGATCACAGTGACACCAAGGGGAAGATCATAAAAGATAATAAAAGGAGCAGCAGAACAGCAAAGGGCTCCCATCCTTACCCACATGCTGGCCAAAGACAATTTTTTTTAATGAAATACAGGGGTTTTGATCAAGTGCATCCATATTTTATAAGTTAAATCTTTTTTTTTTTCTGTCCTGAGGGTTATACTTAGGGGCTTATGCATGCTAAGCAAGTGCTCTCCCACTGAGCAACATCTCCTCTTTTTAAAAATTTATTTATTTAGAGACAGAGTCTCACTAAATTGCCCAGGCTGGCCTCAAATTGTGGATCCTTTTACCTGGACTTCCTGAGAAGCTAGGATTGAGTGCCAATGTGCCATACCTATACTGCTCTTTATGTTTCTGAATTTGAATCCCATTTTCCATACTCCTTTCCCTCCAACATCCTTAACCTTGCCTACGGTTTTCATGGTCTTCAATAGGAAAATCTGCTTCATCTTCAATTCCCCTGAACTTTCCCTTCACAGCTGAATTAAGCTATTTTTCCTCCCCCATCCTATGTACCCCAGGATCTAGAAAAGGTAAGTATCTTCTGTGTCCCCCACCCCTACCTCAAAGGCTTATTTAAGTCATTCTCCTTTTGATCTTTCACAAACCCTAGTTGTTTTGAAGCACAGGTCATCCAATGTCCATGCTTATTCTCTCTCTTGTTAATGTCACCTGCTAATGTCCAGTCTTTCTCCATCACGGTCTTGGTTACTCTTCTCATTGCTGAGATAAAATACCCAACACCCGAAGTTAAAGGAGGAAAGGTTTATTTAGCTTACAAACTGTGAGCTGGCTGGCTCCAAGGCAGGGTGGTATGGCAGAGGGGCATGGCAGAGGGGCATTGCAGAGGAGAAATAGTTTATGCAGGTAGAAGGCAGCAAGCGACCAGAGACCCTCTTTCTGTTCATTATAGCTTATCCAAACTACCCACCTTAGGGCAGATAGCACTCACACCCAAGGTGGGACACACTTAATCCTACCCAGAACTACACCAAATCAATCAGTGAACTAATTTAGTAACCGTACACCCTTGATCCCAGCATCATACACTCCAGATCCATCCACCTCTGAAAAGCCCCACCTATGACTGCATAAGGCTTTGTTGAGGAAACATCTAGACCCAAACTATAACAATCACTTACCAATGGCCTTAGTGTTTGGGCCACCACCCTCTCCTCACCCATGACTTTAGTCATCCCTGGCATTCAGAACCTGTTTCTTTTGGTCCTTGGCCTCCTTAGCTCCTGTGATCTTTCCTTCCTTCCACCTCAGCCCTTCACTTATGTGTTCCTACCCCAGAATGTCTATCATCAATAATAAACCCACCTCTGAAATCTGAATCTCAAACATCTCACTTTCTGACTTATACTTTTTTTCCCTTCCACTCACTTGATCTAGTTTTTTATTCTAGATGTTCTTAAACTTCATCAGGACTTCATTTTATGGGCACTCTACCTTCTCAGACTCCTTTATCCCGCTCCCTACTATGTCTACTTTCTTCTTTAGGCACCATAGGCTCTGTCACCCCAATATAAGCTCCCCTAATTCTCCTGCCATTGTATCTTTATGACAAAACCCTGCTTTAGTTAAACCACACTAACTTCTTATTCCACAACTGTTCCTAATCAGCCATTCATTGTTGAAGGAAAGTCCTCCACCATGTTGACTAGTTTTGCTTCAGATTTGTGATCAAAATATCAAACGGGCCCTCAACACTGCTAGAAATCCTCCTCCATTATCCTGGGCACTTTTCTCACTGTTTTCCTGAAATACTTGCGTTCTGTGTTTTTCCTCCCAAACTTCTAACGTTCCTCCCCTCTGTTTAGTTCCAGCTCACGAACACATCTTTTATTTCACAGAGGTAATAGAAGTGTCAAGAAGAGAATTCTCATATTTGCCTGCCTGGGACACGTAGATAGCCTATACCCCATCCGCATGCCACCACAGAGCCCTGCCTTCCTTATTCTTCCATTAAGGAAGGACCCTTGTTCCTACCCAAGGCCCATTCCCCTATCTGTGCCTGAGATCCCATTCCCTCTCACTTTCTCAGTGACTTTACTCCTTTCTGTAATTATCATCTCCCTCTCTCTCTTTCTTCCTATCTTTCTACCTCTCCCTCTCCTCTTTACTTTCCTCTTTTGTCTTACCCCAACATTAATTTCTGGATCATATACATCAGTATATATAAGTATACCTTATCATCACTTATCCCCCCAAAAATCAAACTATTCCTTGGTCCTTATCTCTCCTTCCATCTACTATTGTCATTCCTCTGCTCCTGTTAACAACAAAGCCACAAAAATATTATTCATACCTGTCATATTTTCTCACCTCTAATCTCCTCCTCGATCTTCTTCCCACCCTGTCAATAAAGCAGCTCTCACCACAGTCACCACAGACCTCTCTCTTGCTGAAGTCAGTTGTCCCTTGGCCCTCTGCTGCACTTGTCATGATTCACCACTGTGTCTAATTTTTCCACTCATCCATGCAGCCACCCATCCAACACATATTCATTCATAGAGAAGAAAATCTTAGTATGAGTGCAGGGATCTTTGTTTTATCCACTGCAGATCCTAAATACCTAGGATGGTGTTTGGAGCCTAGCGGGTATTCAGTAAAACTGCTTAGCATGTCATATGGGGGAAACTAATGCAGAGGAAAAGAGAGGGAAAGGGGACAGGGCTGGGCATGGTTTCAATTTTGAATAGGATGATCAAGAAGCCCTCAATGAGAAAGTAGCATTTGATGTGATAGGTAAGACTTGCCCTTGACATAGAACTCACTGTGGATGTGGTGCATGATGCTTTGTCAGTTCATTTAGTCCTCACAGAAACTCTAAAGGAGGTAAAGTCTATTATTATCCCTATTTTATAAATGAATAAGAACAAATTTGCTAAGGACTTCAAAAATGGGGAAGCCACGTCTTGTATAGTCTAGCTTGAGTCTGTGCCCTTGACAATCAGATATAGTGATTCATATGCTTTTTTTCCCCCACTAATGCATTGTAAACTCTTTGAGTGCACAGTCTGTCACACTCATACCCAAAGCTCCAGGACCTTGGGCAGCACCTGGTACATAGTAGGTGCTCAGTAAATAGCCTTGAAGAGCTTTAGTGAGCATATTCCCTCCTCTTCAAGAGCTACCAGCATCTCTGTATTCATCTCAGAATGGAGGTAAGATTTTGTTCTTTAAATGTGAATTCAATTTGAGAGACTAGCTAGTGATTCCACCAGTGTGGTTCCCAACATGGGTGATCAAGCAACTAATATTGTCTTTACGAAAAAAATTAAGAGCTGGCTATGAAAACTAGCTTTTCTGCTGAGGCTCATAAATAGACTCTGGAGATAGTTTCCAAAGAAAGGCCTGAGCTGCTTTTAAGAAAGCCAAAACGACTGAAAAAACGAATTGCTTTGAGACAGACAATTCTGAAGAATAAAGTGTATTCGGATGTACAGTTTCCTGTGCGTTTGTTTAAAAATATCCATGTCCCATGACTTTATCTTTGTCCTGCCCTTCCTTCCTCTCCCTTGAGGCTCCTTGGCCCCTCTTTGCTACCTCCATGGCCAGGTAGAGCAAAAACATGTCTTTAAACCACAAAAAGGAAGCCCAAGTAGCACAGTGAGAGACAGAGAGGCTTCGAGTATGGGAAGATTCCATAGCCTCACCGCACTGCACCGCACAGCACACAGAGGGTGCGGGGCCTGCTCGGGGAACCCCCCATTCTGAGAGCCCAGGGGAAGCAGAACAGAGTGAGAAGGTCTGCATGTGTCCTCCCAGCAGCCCGCGGGTGGGTGGGCACGGAATGGGGGGAAAGGTAAGATCCCATTTTTAGGGTACCCTAAGGCGTATGCTCTTTCTGACTTCATCTGGCTATTTTATTTGCACCACCCAAGTGCTTAATATTTTCTTTTGTTTGACTCCCTCCACCTTCCCCAGCTTCCCTTCTCTTCCTGTCTCCAGCTTTAATGCTGAATAATGTAGCACCACATAGTGGTTAGGGAAGTGGGTTCTATAGATAGAATCAGATCCAAAGTTCAAATCCTGGCTCTGCCACAAATAGGGTAGGGTACTTTGGGAAGGACACTTAATTTCACCAAGGCTCAGTTTTTTCATCTGGAAAATGAGAATAATGAGTGCCTACATTGTAGGGTTGTTGCTGCCTGTGAAGTGCTTTGCATTGAATAAGCAGTAAATAAATACCACAGAATTTCTCTTGTGCTATTTCTCTTTCTTAAATAGTACCATTTTCCTCTTCCATTGACTCCCTTCACCATTTCAGCAGATTCTTCTGCTTTTCCTTACAGCCTTAAACTAGATCTTTTCACTCACTTTTGGCATAATTTTCATTCATCTTCTTCTTTACCTCTTTCTTTTGTCACTCCCACATGTGTTTTCCGCCTGCTCTCTTTTTTTCTCTTAGAAGCACTTAGTCTTTAACAAAACAGAACTTCAGATGTACTTCTTTTGTGTCCCCACTATCTTAGTCCTCCAGGGGTTGGGGTGTGTGTGTGTGTGTGTGTGTGTGTGTGTGTGTGTGTCTTTAGTCTTCAATAAACTGCTTCCTCCAGCTGTGCTGTGGTTCATCTTCAGCTTTTGTTTTTAATCTCCCAGAAATTCAGTAATAAGCTTAACACAGACTGCCTTGGTTTTCTGGCCCAGCAGCCCTTGAGAATATTGATCTTTTTAAATTTTGTAATTTAAATGCAGAGTCCTTTGCCCTCGTCAGAGGTTGCTAATGAATCCCCAGCTGGAGTCTAATGCTGACAGTTGCAGACTTAACCATTCCTTAGAAACTTCATCACTACTGATGCATTTCCCACTTTGATACTGAAGAGCAGGAGCCATGCTAAGCTGAGTTCAGGTCTTTTGGGATACAGCTGGGTGTCGGGCTACCCAGGGAACCTGGTTGGACTCCACCTCTTCCTCTGGGTTTGCCTCTCTCCTCCACTAGTATGGTCTTGCTTCATCTGTTCTGAAACAGAAGACAGGACCTGGATCTGTTAGCACCAAAGTTTCTCCTTTTATTAGGCACCAACATAGACACAACTGAATGATTTCTTGCACATAGTGTAATGAGTCATTACATACATTTTTCCAAATTTGATCCTGAGTATAAGACATGGGTTGTTCTGTTTCAATTTAATAAAACTTTATTGGATACCTTTGATGTGTTAGCATTGTATGTATCCTCATACTTTTCAGATGTTAAGGAATGATTTCCTAAGAGAAAAAGAGAAGTATATCCAAAGACAGAATATAAGTTTCACAATTAAATAATTAGAATGAGAAAATGAAATCAAAAAAGAACCAGCTGCAGGTCAAGAAATAATTCCTGAGTATTTAGGTGAATAAATGTTAGATACATTTATTAGTCAAATGAGATGATGCTTGAGTCCAAAAAGTTTCAGTATGTCTAAAACACCTTAAAGGATACTAAAAAGTAAAAATGAGAAACTGGAAGATAATTTGAAACAACATACAAGTGCATAAAGGAGAGAGAACTTACAAGTTTAGAACCACATTTAAATTGAAAAATTAGCATTCACAAAAGAAAAAAATATAATGATTAATAAACATGAAAAATGCTAATTTCCCCAGAAATCAAATAAATATTAAAACCACATTTTCAACCATTAAATTAGAAAAGATATACATATAGATACAGATATAGACATAGTGTGTGTGTGTGTGTGTGTATGTGTGTGTGTAAGATTGGGGGCCAGCCCTCCCTATGTATTGCTGGTGAGGAGTGTTGTCATACATACACGTGTGCCAGGATTCCCTTCCCAAGAGCAAACCTATCCCACAGGAGAGATGAGGCAATGAGGACTCACAAACAGTTTATTTATGTTCATTATGACCAAGGCATCAGTGCATGTAAGAAATTTGCAGTAATAAGAAAATTCATACCATAGAAGCTCAGTAGAAGGTTTACAACCTCACACAAATATTGTGTTGACATATCAAACCCCATCCACTAAAACTATTCCCCAACCTTTCTTCCAAACTTAGTTCAGCTAGATTTTAAGTTGTTCCACTTAAATTAAGTAATTTACTTAATTTCAGTGTAGTGTTTCTAATTATAATATCATTAATGAAGATAGGAGTATAATTTGTTTATTACCATGTCAAATGTGTAACTGCTCTATTTGGCCAAATACTACCTGAGTTCTTATCTTTGCACTCTTTTGGTCTCATGATTATCAATACGTGAATTCACTTTTTTACATTCTGATTCAATGAATACAATCCAATAGAGTCTCATCCTGCAATAAAATAGGTATATCCTTTGATCAAATCCAGCTAAGAAGGGTAAAAATTGGCACCACTGTTCTGGTGGGTCATTTTCAATGCATAGCAAAAGCTGTCAAACATTGTCTTACAATTGGACTCAGCAGCTTTACTTCTAGAAACTTATCCCCAGGAAATAATTAGAGATACAGACAAAAAAATATATCACATTATTTATAATGATTGGAAACAACCTAAACATCCAACAGTGGACCCCTGTGGACAAACAACTTACTCTATTTCTATTATCAATACAATATTGATATTCTATACAATATTGTTCTATCAAAAACATTGTTTAATAGACTGTTTAATGCATAGGGAAATAATCACAGTATTTTTTTCCTTAAATTCTTTTATTGGTACATTTTAGGTATACAATACATTTACATTTATCATTGGGTACTTGTACCTGTTCATGATGTGTCTTATTTTTTTCCCCATTCCCTGTCCTCCCTTCACCCCCTCCACCCTTCCCTATTTACAAAGACTTTGTTTCCTTTTTCCCTTTTCTCATAATTTTTCCTTTCCCTTCTTTCCTTTCCCCTTTGCCTCCCACATCACAGTATATTGCTAACCAACAAAATGGTTTTAAAACATCCTGTTCAGTATGTTAGAATCCAATTTTTTTAATCTAATAAGAGAAATATATTGATAGGTATAATAAATGTATATATTCAAAAATATATAGTTACAAACACCCAGGTAATAGAAAATCTGGGAGGCTCTAAAACTAATGTCAATAGCATTTATTGCTAGCTATTAGAATTGGGAATTCTTTCTGTATTTTACACATTTTGTACAACCATTGTTTTAAGATGAAAAAGAAAAGAGAAGAGGAATTATTTTTGTAGATAATGTAGCACTACATAAGGAATCCTACTGAGGAGGCTTGGCAGAATGCCCTGGAGGAGAGTTTGTGGAGGGCTTAATGGGGCAGCATTTGAGGCAGCCCTGGTGGGCAGGAAGACTGGGGTCCTGTGGCAGGGGTGCTCCCAGCCCAGCAGGAGGCCTGGAATATTCCTCCAAAGCTGAGGTGGGGAAATTGACACAGAAAGTAAGAAGTAAAGCTGCGAGGGGAACAATCCAGGAACCAAAGGTGTGGGCGTCTCGTAGGTTGACCATGAGAATCTACAGATATTTGTTGCAAAAGCACCGATGCCCCGGAAGGACAGAGAGAGAAGACCTGGGTCCGGACTCTCGTTTCTTATTCTGCTGACTTTCACCGTGTTTCTCTTTTTTCCAAAAAGGAGTGAACTGTTCTGGTCCTTGTCCTCTAGCCTTCCCTGGTATTTTGGGTTCAATTGTGTGTTTTCTACTTTTTTCTTTTTCCTGCCCCTTCCGTGGATGGTGGGCAAAGCCAAGCTTGGCAGGAAGAAGAGGGAAAGGCTGCTGGGTCCCCAGCCCACCCCCATCACTGCCCCCCCAGTGCTGCCTGTCGCCGGCTCTTCCTCCCCTCTTTCTCATTTCACCAGAGGTTGTGGCTGCCAGCAAAGCAACAGCAACTTCAGTCCTCTCGGGCAAGAAGTCGAAGCCAGGTTGGGGACCCTAAAGATTCCCAGGGTTTGGCCCGTGATGTGCCTCAGCCAAGGCCTCTGTTCCTGCTCACCCCGTATTATATCACGTATCTTCCTCCCCAAGGCCCGTCTGACTAAAGTATGAGCCTCTGCTTCCCTCCCCTTAGCTGCCGTATCAGTCGCATCTTGGAGTCCCCTCGGGGAAATGCTCTGCTGGTTGGTGTGGGTGGGAGTGGCAAGCAGAGTCTGACCAGGCTTGCAGCTTTCGTCAGCTCCATGGATGTATTCCAGATCACACTGCGCAAAGGCTACCAGATCCCTGACTTCAAGGTAAGATGGTTACTGAGCTGTGGGGAGGAGGCAGCGTCTCTTTAACCACACAACTCCGTATCACTCTTCATTAGTTCTCCAGCGCCCCTGCCTAGTACCTCCCCTTAATTGTCCATCCACTTTCTTCTTAGTTTCAGTCCTGGTGAGATGAGTGGCTCTTTTCCCATCAGACACAGCCAGGGAACAGTGGCCTTTCCAAGATCTATATCAAATTTGGCACACAGCTTGATAGCCGCTCTCACAGACTTAAGAATCCCAACAGTCTGCCCAGGCTTTATAAGAAGTTCATATTTTAAAAGACAGCTTCAATAACTGCTGGGCCCTCAGGACATTCGGTGACATTTCCTAGTTTTAGACAGCAAACACATAGGAGCCATGATGCATGGAAAGTGAAGAAAGGCATTGTGTACAAACTGCAGAGGTCATTTGGTCTGGTCCTCACCCTTTTATCCACAGCCACAACAGAGTCACAGGAGAGAGACATGGTAGAATTTCCATCAGGATGCTGCCCTTGCTGTTGCTGGGACAACTGAGCCAAGCACTGAGCCAAACTTGCCTCATAATCTTTCAACCGGTGATGGAAGAGGGAGATGCTTGCTTCTGCTCTGACAGCACAGTTTAGCCTGGGGACACTGGCTGTGTCCAAGGTCACTTGAGGCCTTTATTTAGTGCTTACAAAAAAGACAAGCCAAGATAGTGTGATGGGAATTATGCATTTACATAATGACATGACAGTGTTTCTGTACTAAAACTTTAGCTATATACTGGAATCACAGGGGCTCTTCAAATAATGCTGATGCCTGCATCCTACCTCTAGCTGTTCTAGGTAATAGCCTGGGTATCAGGGTTTTTCAGAGCATCCCCCAGATGATTCTAATGAGAATTGAGAAACACTGTCTTAGATTATTCTGTAAAAACATAAAGTGAGATTAGTTGATCTAAAAGGAAGTATATTATCTTTAAAGGGGAGTTATTTGGACATTAAGGAAATTCTACAATAAAGGAATGCCTGAGGCTGTTAGGAATGAGCTCAGAGTGGTGCTGGAGAGAAAAGACCAAGGTAAGGGGCAGTGGCTGAGCTTTGTAAGGGTGACACACCAAAGGAACTAAGATGGACCAAACTGGATAAATTCAGGATTTTGTACCAGAACTAGCCCATAACCTTACACATCTCCATCTGCACCCCCAGCTTTGAGTGGGTGTGACTTCTGTAGCTAATTGTGGATATGTATGAGTATTCCCAAGTACTGTGTATGTTTTTCAACAAAAGTCTGGCTAGAGCTACTGACAATTGTAAGAACACTGGCATAAGACATATGAACCCTAGGCAACCCAGTATGTGACTCTTCTGTCAAGGCTAAGGGCAGTGACTTGCCTTGTGGAGCAGGTCATTCACTTACATAACGACATAAATAAAACAGATGAACAAAAATCACCTCGCCTTTTGAGAGAAGCAGCTCTTTGCACAAATCAGGAGCTCCAGAAGCTAGTGCAGGAACCACCATGAATTAAAGGTCTTCTCTGTGTGGCTTTGTTTGCCCACTTCCACATACACTGCAGCATGGAAACGAGGTATATTTTCCTCACTGTCAGTGCAAGATAGCACTCCTTCTTACCTCCCATTGTTGACTTTATTTCTCATTAAAGTGGATGATAAAATAGTTCCATATTTGAAGAGTGGGTTGGGGATCTCTTTGGAGAAGGCCTTCTTGTCAGAGCTTCCTGATATTGATTGTGCCCACAGGTGGACCTGGCCAGCCTGTGTCTGAAAGCTGGGGTAAAGAATCTCAGCACAGTGTTCCTCATGACTGATGCCCAGGTGGCTGATGAAAGGTTCCTTGTGCTCATCAATGATCTTTTGGCATCCGGTAAGAGACTCTCTGCATTTGTATGCCTCTAGTGGAATCAGAGTCATTTAAAAGTGGAGAAGTAGTCCAAGGTCAAAAAAGCTGGAGCATAGAAAAGGAGAAAATTGATGCAGCACAGGATCATTAAAGCCCTTCCTAGGGTTGGTGCTGGGCCAGCCATCCTGGTTCTTAGATTCTACTCTCATTACAAATCAGATAAAAATCTTGAGACTCTCATAGTGGGGCAAGATGTGATTATGAGAAGAGCAGATTAAACCTGGGGACCTACTAACACTAGAGAAAAGGTGCTGCTTCTTCTCCATACCTATGACCAAGAGAGACTACAATGTGTGTAGGACTTCACATAGCTTAGACATTGGCAAGAAAATACACACAGAAAGAACATCTACACATAGCACTTACACAATAGGGCAAGATTGGGTTACCAATTTAATTAAACAAAGATTCAAAGATTCGGAACTTTGTGCAAGCAGAAACAGATGTAGAATATCTCTCCAAAGTTTTCCTCGGTCCTCAACAACCTTGACAAGTTGTTGTCTAGTGCCTTACGACACTATAAGACTTCAATAGAAAGCTCAATTTCTGCTATTTTCTTGTCTTTGTTTATTTAGAAGTTCAGGATTTAGGTCAGTGATTACAAATATATATATAAAATATTATAATTTTTATATATATACACACACATGTTTATATAAGACAATAGATTACATAAGGAAGTATATTGCATGAATTACATGTTTCCAAAATGTGTATTTGTATCAATTAAAGAAAGATTATGCTTTCCTGAATCTTAAACCAAATGCAACACCTGCAAAGCCACCTGTTCACCTGGGTAAAGAAATAGTGCACAGATGTCCCTGAAAAAAATTCTTGCCACTCAATTCCCAATAATTAATAAGCCCATTTCTCCACAGCGCCCCCCCCATATACTGAATAAGCTTTTGTTTATGAAGTCCAAGAAACATAATCGTAGGTACATTTCTGCATCATCTATCCCATGTCATGCGACATTTATTTCAGGATAACTCCTGCCAATCCCTAGGAACCTCATTGCTTCAGAATCATTGTGTGCCATATTTTGTGGCAGTGTACACTATGCCATTCTACTGTGACCCATAAAGAGCCACTAGCCCCTGATCCAGACCATGCAGTCACAGGTTCCATGATGGCTTGTTTCTGATGAGGCCCCATCCCAGGTTCCTTCCTGTGTTGGATCCTGGCATTGCACTGATCCCCCATTCATTTATTTCCCAGTCTATCCTGCTTAAGTTAGCTCTATATCCAGGAGTTTTCCTATCAACTCTTAAACCTTTTCTCCTCTAATACAACAAATTTTCCCCTTCCTAAATACTTTCTTTAATATCTCATCACCATAATGTTTAACCTACAGCATTGCCCACCTTTTATTATTTTTTTAAATGAGAGAGATCCAACTGGCCTCCCACCCTGAAGGTATCCTGAAGCCTAATTTCTAAAACAGCCTAAGAGTCTGTACTTCCAAAGACTCACAGCTTTGGAGATGTCAGGCATGTTGCCAGCCTTGCTCTGTATTGCACTTGGGCCCAATTCAGCCAGGTCACCTTCTCCTAAAATAATATTTGAGACACAGAAGTTGTTATACGTTTGCCAGCTGAAATTTTATTCCTCAATTAAGTATCTTTAATTTTTCATTTAGAAGACAACTTTTTTTTCAAGCACAAGTGAATTTCTGAAGATTTGCCCAGTGAAAACTTAATGCAATCAGTGTGTTCCAAAGTCATAGAATTTCAGGTTCACAGTTCCCTTTTAAGGCCTTTATATTAAAAAAAAAAAAAAGCAAGATTTGCACACATATGTTAAGGTGGAAATACATTTCAGATTAACACTTTTTTCTTCTAATTGTCCTCTGTTTTTTTTAACTTAACTACTTTAACAAGGAGAATTGGAGTCTATGTTAGTCCTACTATTCCCTGTCGAATAAATAACATCTGGCTACAAAGTAACTCAAAGCCAGTCCAACCAAGGCTGTAAGGATTTTCAAAATCTACATTCCCAATTTTTTCAATTTTGTGAGGTTGTGCAATTACTCCACTCTTGGAAAACACAGTAAGAGCAGGAAACCACACCTTGGGTACTTGCCTATAACTCATTACTCTGTGGTTATCTACAAGTACTGTCACATTGGCTATAAAGGTAGTGAATGAATGCTTAATACAACTATCCCCCAAAATTTCTTCCTGAGAGAACTAGTAATATGACATCAGCTATCTGGTTTTCTCCTGCATCTTTAGCTCCTTATTTTACTTCTTGTTATTGTGACACCTATGTCAAAATCAAACCATGATGATATTTGGCTTATGAATCCCACTTCTGATACCCATCACAGCACATCAGAACACATCAATATGACAGTTGCATCTCAGAAGAGTTAGAGATTTACAGGAAGAAATCCTACATACAAAGTGAAAAAAAATACATTCCTGAGTAATTAGCAAAAATACATAAAGGCAGAGTGGCCATCACTCAGGTCAGGAGCAGAGGAAGGCTATCTGTAAGATACTCCCCTTGACTGCCAAAACCTTAAATGGTGATCATGCAGCTGCAGGTGAAGCTGTGCATGAAATGTAGGCCCTTGCTGAACCTGAAAAATCTAATTCTTGTCATTATCTTATTGACCTGTTATAATATTTCCTGGAGTATGTATGCTTATCATCAGTCTCAGGTGTTTTAAGAATTCTTATAGATATTCATCTCTCAGTCTTTGATCCACACTCAGTCAAGTTCCCATCATAATCTAGAGGGAGAAATGAGAATTACTCATTTCATTACAGATGAATATTATCTGGCTTGTCAAATATTAGGACATTTTAGTGACCACATGAAGACACTAAAAGATGTAATAGACAGATATAAAGTTTCCTAACTTTAGGCTATAGCAGGGAACTTTTCAAATGTGTAAATGACATTGAACTTTGCTCATGTTGCAAAATCCTCTCTGGCTGTTCATTTTCCTGCTTTCAGTATGCTGCAGTATTGGTATATCACACAATAAAGAATGTTGCCAGAAAAACTTGGAGAAACACATCTGAAAATGCAAACTTCGCTGGCAATTCAGAGGTGTTTAGCCCCAGATATTCCATCTAGTGATCTTGTTTTTATAGATTCCTCAAATCTTGTGACAAACACCACCATCATGTGACCCTAGATAAAGTCTCTAAATGACCTAAATGCTTTCAGCATCTTGGCATTAGGAGTACCCTATAAACCAAGGTCAAGGAGCTTTTTGTAAAAAGGGTCAAAAAGTAAATATGTCAGGCCTTGCAAACCATGTAGTCTCTGTCACAACTACTCAACTTTTTACTGTAATGAAAAATAGCCATAAACAATACCTAAATGAATGAGCATGGCTATGGCCAATAAAACTATTTATGGATAATAAAATTTGAATTTCATATCATTTTCATGTGCCATTAAATATTATTATTTTAATTTTTTCAATCATTAAAAAGTCTCCAAACCATCCTTTGCTTGTAGGCCACACAAAAACAGACAGTGAGCCAGGGCCAGCCAGCAGGCCGTAATTTGCCTCCTCAGTATTCAGCATCTTACAGATAAAACACCAAAAGGGCATAAACACTACATCTCTCAACTAAAAGAAACGTGAAGAATGCAGATTGTAGCATTACAAATGTCGTAAGACCAAAGGGAATCCCAGTTCTCCCTGGGCGCTCTAACATACTAACAGAGAGGAAATGCAGGTAATCACAGCAGCCCTGGAGAAAGAAATTTGGGTCACTACAGGCAGCATGATGAGCTTGGCTCATGCCAATGCCACCTCAATATTACTTTTCAAAACCTGCCCTGAATTCCTTAACTCCCAACACATGCTAAATATCATTTCATTTTCTTAGCAGTTTCCTCTGATCCCTACTTTTATTAAAAGAAGCAGAAATAATTTATTCCATTAGTAAGATCTTGATTTTGACAAGTTATAGCACAAAGTGTTTTATAGGTATGCTATTTAAATATCCTAGAGAATGGAAGTTAAATCAGGTTTGTCCAATTAAAGGAAGAAAGTAAATGAGGATTTTCATGATAATTCATTTTATAAAATTTTGACCTTTTAAATGATTAAAGCTAATTGGTACAAAAAAACTTTTAAAGTCTCCTGGCCAGTTTAATGCTGTCGAACCAAGTTTCCTCCTGATGCAGTCGTGCAAAGAGGTTCAGCAGCTCCAGGGACTCATAAGATCATGATTTCAGGCACTTTGATTAGTTGGATACCATTTTTGTCAAATCATCCCCTTTAGGACTTCGCCTGGGTCCTCAAAGAAGCAGGATGGGTGGGTAGCCCCAAGGATGTCTTCCATCGCTAACATTTGTTATGATGCTGGCATTTCTACGTGAGTTATGGAAGAAAGAAGAAGCATATGGATATAAGGAGCTTCTTGCAGAGCTTGTATGCAGTTCTAGATCCAGATAGTCTCAGTATCTCCATAAGGACTGGTCCTGGAAATGTGAAAGGGTTTTCCCAATGCCCATATATATCCTAGCGCGAACCACATTCACCCTTTGCATCATATCTATTGTTTTCAACTTTTTGTCTGTGGTATTGCTTCATTCCTTCTTACTTCTCTCAATCAATCTCATCCCTTTCTTAAAGAAAATTTGTGTCATTTAGTATGAGCCTCACGACTATCTTTATACATCATAGTCTGTCTCCATTTCTTCACGGTTTTCTCCTTTTCTCCAATATTACTATTCCTCCTTTCCAAGACCAACCCTCCCATCCCCTGGTTCCTAATTCAGAATTTCTCTTTATCCTGTCTTCTTTAAATTTCTGACTTGCTGTCTTCTCTGCTTTCAAACAAGAGCAATCACTCCAAGGTTTTTTAAAATTAAAGTTTTATAAAATCATCTTTCTTTAACTTGAAATGACAGGCAACAATCCTGGAAACTTTTCCGAGACTAAATTCTCAAAAGATTTAAATTTATAATTATCATATTCTCACTATCTACACTGACTAGTCTTCCTCTATGTTTTTCTATATTTCTTTACAAAATATTTTGGACTTGTAGAAAACAGTGAAACAAACACCCATGCAATTGTGAACTGTATGACAAAATAGCAACTTTGCTGGTTGTACATGTGCAAGAGTTTCTTTAAGTAGGTACTCAAAACCAAGGTGACTAGGTCATCTGGTATGTGTATTTCAACTTTACTAAATAAAAGTGCCAAATTGCTCTCCAGCAGAGTTATGCAAATTTAGTCTCCAGCCATGATAACTAATGAGTTACCATGATACCTGTTTCCTCCCAACCTCACCAATACTTAGTTTATCTGGCATAATAAATTTAACTATAGAAATAAAATAAAATCTCAGTTTCCCTTTCCTTTTTCGCTGTTGACATTGAGCATCTTTATAAATAGTTACTGTCTATTCCTGTTTCTCCTCTGTAAGTTATCTATTGTATAATTTGCTCTGTGGGTCTTGGTCTCTTTTTCTTAGGTATTTGTAGGAGTTCCTCATGTATTTTGAATAGCAACCCTTTCTTTATTACATGGCTTGTAAAAATCATTTTCAAGTTTGTCTGCCTTTTGTTATACCAGTTTAGCTTTAATGTTATAAAATTGACAGTTTATTTCTTTTTCTTTTCTTTTTTTTTCTTTTTTTTTTGAGACAGGGTCTCACTACATAGTTCAGGCTGGCCTTGAACTCACTGTGGAGCCCAGGCTGGCCTCGAACTAGTGGCAATACTCCCACCTCAGCCTCATGAGCACTGGGATTACAGGTGTGCACAACCACATCCAGCAACAGCATTTTTACTGCTGTGTGTTTTCTGTGTTGTTTCAGAAATTTTGTTCTATCTCAATGCCATAAAAATAATTGCCTCCATTTTAATTTTACTTTCCATATTTGTGTCTTTACTTTATATAGAATTAATTTTCATATAGTGATCTCATTGTATTTGTTGTATTAATATTGAATTATCCTAACATCATTATTTATATTAACATTGAATTATCCTAATGTCACTTGTTAGTTCATCCCTTTGCACACTGATTTTTAATGTCAATTTTCTGTTTCCAACTGGTTCTATTGCTAGGTGCTTCACTTTGATCTATTTATCCCAATTCCAGTTTTCCATTGCTGTAGAGAGCATAGCTTTCACAAGGTCATTTCATTTCTGGAAGGATACATCTCTTCTTTTGGCTCTTCCTCAAGAAAGCCATTCTTTACCCTTGCCTCTTCCATCTACATTTTAGAATATGCTTGTCAAGATAAAAAAATGAACTCATTTAATCTTTTATTGAACTTACATCTTTGTGGTTCTACTGCAGCATTCCCACAAACACAGTATTTCTTTCTACTTGTTCAGGGTTTTGTTCATTACCTTCAATAGTATACTGTGGTTTTTACATTAAGATCTGGCACATCTTTTATATTATTATTTAGCTGCTTATATTTTCGTTAGAATTCTAAATAACTTCTATATACCTTTTTTGTTGTCCTCACACTTCTTTTTTTGGCTAGAGGACAGAAATGCAATTTAATTTTCCAATATTGATTTTGTATCCAGTAGGCTTATTGTTGAACACTTATGAGTTCTAATTACTTATGTGAATTCTTTTTAGATTTTTTATGTATAAAAGTACATTTCAAACAGTAACAGTTTTATTAGTTTCTCAACTATCCCTGTCATTTTATTCTTTTTCTTAACATTTTGCATAATCTGGCAACCTCCTGCATAATGTTGAATAAAATGCATAATACAGTGATGTTTGTCTTATTCTTGATCTAAAAGGGAATATTTAGGTAGGATGTTTGCTTTGGGTTTGAGGTTGATATGTATTATCAGATTCATTCCTGGTTTGCTGACAGTTTTTTAGAAGTTTTATATATCTGTTTCAATGGTCTTCTTGTTTTATTTTTTAAATCTATTAATATAGTAAATTATTTTCACAGATTTTTCTAGAATTTAACTATCCTTACATTGCCAAGATAAACTTTAAGTAGCTATCATATATCAATTTTATATATTTGATTAGGATGTTTAAAATTTTTATTCTTCAGTCAAATGAACATATAATTTTACTCACATACATTGCCTCATTAAAAAAATGTTTTATCTACCTTCCAGATTTTTGCCAAGCTGGTAAAAATAATAATTAGACATAATTTTAATGTACATTTCTGCTATTATGAGTGAGGCTATATTGGTTCATGTTTGCCAATCTGATTTGTACAAAAAGTAACTAAGCAGTTTTGATGTGCAATTCTCCCATCCAAGTACTAACCAGGCCTGACCCTGCTTAGCTTCCAAGATAAGACGAGATCAGGCACACTCAGGGTGGTATGACATAGACTTCATGTGCATTTCTGTTATTACAAGTGATATTAAATATCTAAGAAATAGTTTTATTTCCTTCATTATTCCCTTTATTATTCATTTTTATTTTTATTTCATTTACTGTAAACTCTTTTCATATCCTTCAACATATCTTATTTACTTATCTTTCATTTGTAGAGAATTTCTTTACATATTAAAGAGATTAGCCATTTAACAATAATATGAATTAACATACATTTTCATAATGTTTTCCTTGAGTTTTGTTATTGTTGTTATTATGCTTACCAATGATGTTTTCACCGTGACATTTTTCTTTATTTTTATGCTGTCAAATTTATCTGTTTTGTCAATTAAATTTATCTTTTGGAAAGTAGATTGAGTTATAGTTAGAAAGTTTTTTCTCAAAGGATATATGAATATTTCCCTCATTTTTTCCTGCTATTTTAATGTTTGTTTAATAGTTAAATCACTGATCCATTTGAAACTTAGCCTAGGGTACAATCTAAGATAAGGAGCCAACCATAATTTTTTAGATCCTAGTTTTCTTAATATTATATATTGAATAGTTGAATAGTTCACTATCTTTTCTGCAGTAATTTAAGGTCACATTTATTATATATACAGTACTACAGTCCATTAAGCCATCCCTGATTTCTCCCTTCCTCTTTTATAGAAAGTGATTGCTTGTTCTTCTTAAATATATAAATTTACATATGTTTCTTTATGCCCCTGTTCATTTACAGTCTTGTAGATAAATATGTTTTATATCTCTTGCTAAATAGTAAGCTTCTTAGAGGTACAATTTTCAGAGCCAACAACACAGTAGTTATAAATGCTTAGGCAAAAGAAGAAAAGACCATTGAAATACTACCACCAGCCTACACCAGGAAAAAAAGGTATCCTACACCCCATCCCATTCATTAATGTACTCATTGCCTTGTCCTGGGCTTGGAGTATAAATGATGTCCATCCAATTTCATCAACAGTGAGTTGGGATATAGTGTAAAAGCCAAGAGACCCGTGTCCCAAGGCAAAATAACCTTCCATGTCTGATTGCATCATTTAGCAAGATATCAAAGGGGCCGGGATTTAGCTCAGTAGTGCCGTCGCCTGCCTCGCAAGCTCAAGGTGCTGAGTTTAATCTCCGGTACCAAAAAAAAAAAAAAGATATCAAAGCTGCCCATCTGTGTTCCTTTTATTCCCAGCAGAGATCCCAGACCTCTACTCAGATGATGAAGTTGAAAACATCATAAGCAATGTGAGGAATGAAGTCAAGAGCCAAGGTCTGGTTGACAACAGAGAGAACTGTTGGAAGTTTTTCATAGATCGTGTCCAGCGACGCCTGAAGGTAAAGGAAAATTTACTGCCTGGGGTGGGCACAGAACAGAAATGTTCACAGGAATTTCTACTGGTAGTTTGGACCCAGCTGTTCTGTCTTCAGAGTGGGTGGTGAGGGTGCTGTGTCCTTCTCAGGCTGTGCACCATTGCAAGGAGTCCTTTCTCACCTGCTCTATTAATGGTACCTTCTCTTGCATCATGCAGTCCCAGGGTTCTGGATTTCTTGCTAGGAAAGCTGGCTAGCATGTATAGATTTCATGTCTGTTAGATGTCCTGCTCAAATTTCTGGAAAATCAAGAACCCAAGCCATGGTTGACTCTTTGTATTTCTCTGATACCTTTTTGGTTCTCCTCCCACTTCTCACTTCTCAGGTGGCTCTCTGTTTCTCCCCTGTGGGGAACAAGCTAAGACTCCGCAGCAGGAAGTTCCCAGCCATTGTAAACTGCACAGCCATCAACTGGTTCCATGAGTGGCCTCAGCAGGCACTGGAGTCCGTCAGCCTTCGCTTCCTGCAGAACACAGACAGCATTGAGGTGAGGGGGAAAGGGGGCCTTCCTCAACATCCTCTTCACCTCAGGGTACAAGGAATCCCATGTCCAAATGTTGAGGTTAAAGTACAGGCTTGCCCAAATGCCCATCAACTGGAGGCTGGATAAAGAAAATGTGGTTTTTTTATAAAATGGAGTACTACTCAGCCATAAAACATGAGAAATTAGAGACATTTATAGCTAAGTGGATGCACATTGAGGCAATACTCTTAAGTGAAATAAATAGGACACACATGTGTAAATACCGAATAGTTTCTCTGGTGTGAGAAACTGAAAGTGTAAATAAGGACTAAATGTATAATAGGTAATGTGAAATAGGAAGAAAAGGGGCAAAGGGGAAGGAAGTGGGAGGGCTAAGGGAAAGGATAGAAGGGAATGGAATTAATATGAGGAAATGGAAAAATAGGAAGAAAATCTTTGTAAATAGGGAGGACTGGAGGGGTTGAAGGGAGGACTGGGCAAGGGTGAAAAATAAGAACCAAAAGAGACTACGTAAAGGTGCAAATTTCCAATGATGAATGTCATTATATTGTATGCCTAAAATGTACCAATGATTAGAATGAATAATTGATAATGCAAAATAGGAAGAAAAGGTCCAAAGGGGTAGGGGGAGGGGGAGGGGCAGGGGAAAGGAAAGAAGGGAAAGGAAAAATGATGAGAAATGGAAAAAATGGGAACAAAGTCTTTGTAAATAGGGAAGGGTGGAGGGCGTGAAGGGAGGGCTAGGAATGGGGAAAAAATAAGAACCAAGATGCATTCTGTAAAGGTACAGTTCCCAATGAGAAATGTAATTGTGTTGTATACCTACAATGTACCAATAAAAGAAATTAATAAAAAATAAAAAATAAAAAATAAAAATAAAGTACAGGCTTGCACAGAGCCACCAAAACATAATTTGCCATGCAATGAAGGAAAGAGTGGGACGGGCAATCACTTTCAGCCTTCACAATGAGATGGTCTTATATTTCCTGTCTGTTTTTTAATTCCAGCCTACAGTAAAGCAATCAATTAGCAAATTCATGGCCTTTGTCCACACAAGTGTCAACCGAACATCCCAGTCTTATCTGAGCAATGAGCAGCACTACAACTACACAACTCCCAAATCCTTTCTGGAGTTCATCAGACTCTACCAGAGCCTTTTGCACAAGAATGGAAAAGAGCTCAAGTCCAAAATGGAGCGGCTTGAGAATGGGCTGCTGAAGCTCCACAGCACCTCTGCCCAGGTGAGCCTCGTCCTGCTCTCCTACCGTCAGTAGATTTGGAGGATAGGAGCAGCCCTAAACCAGTGCACTTTAGACATCCCAATCTAGAGCTGATTTTCCTGGGCGCCCGTGGCAACAGAAACAGTACTGAAAGTTAAGTGAGCCTCCTTAGCAGAGGAGCATATCCTTAGCTTCAGGCCTGGTTTGCTCCCTCTCATTGATGCTGGAATCCCCAGAGACACTTCTTCTCTCTTCCTCTTTGCAATCTTTCCTTTCTCCTCTCCAATTCTCTTCCCAACTGTCTTAATGTATTGTGTTGCTATAACAAAATATGCAAGGTAGAGTATTCTATAAAGACAAGAGGTTTATTTCACTCACAATTCTGGAGGTTCAAGAGCATGTTGCCATTATCTGCTCACCTCGAATAAGGGCCACAGGATGGATGTGGGGGACACTACAGAAAAGGAGTGCAGGCCACGCAGAAGAGGGATTCAGGAGAGGTTCCCATGTTCACCGGAACTAATCCAGTCCCATGAGACCTGGCCCCCTTCCTGAGGAAGAGCATTAAACCATTCAAGGGTGTGGAGCCTCTGTGTCCTAATTACCTTCCACTAGGCCACACCTCTTTTTTATAGCATCATTATGGTTTCTTTTTTTCATTAAATTATTCTGGATTTTTAAAAAAATTATTACTACATGTTTTCCATACATAATGATCACATTCATCATAGGTAATTTGTATCTATACATAATATATCTTATTCTTTTTTCCCATTCTCCTCCCTTCAACCCTTCATCTCCTCCCCATTTACAAAAGCTTTATTTCCATTTTTTTCTTCTATTCTCTCTTTTTTTATGCCTTTTTATTTCCTTCCCTTCTTCCTCCCCCCCCCTTCTTCCTTCCCCCTCCCTTGTTCCCATTCCCATTTGAACATGTTCTTCCTACTTCCCAATATCTATCCTCCATTTTTACTCCTTATTTACCCTTTGGGTTTCTCACACAAGAGAAACAATGCAATATTTAAACTTGTGTGTCTGATTTATTTCGCTTAAAATTATCATCTCAAGGTCCATCCATTTACCTAAAAAATGTCTCAAGTCTATGCTTCTTTGTGGCAGAGTAGTATTCCATTGTGTATAAAGACCACATTTTCTTTATCAATTCATCCATTGATGGGGATATAAGTTGTTTCCAAGATTTAGCTATTATAAATTGTGCCACTATAAACATGTGTATCATGTGTTATAATGCTTTTAACTCTTTCAGGGAGATACCTGGAAGGGGAATACCTGGATCAAATGGAACCTCTACTTGTAGTTTCTTGAGGACTCTCCATACTGATTTCCATAATGAGTGTTCCAATTTATACTCCCACCAACAATGGAGAAGGGTTCCTTTTTCCCCACAGCCTTACCATCATTTGTTATTAGTTGATTTCTTGATGATAGTCATTCTGGAGTGAGATGTAATCCCAATGTTGTTTTAATTTGTATTTCTCTAATGACCAGTGATGTTGAGCATTTTTTTTTGTATATTTATTTGCTGTTTCTACTTCATCATTTCAGATGCCTATTTTTAAGTGGATCTTTAAATTTGGGGGGGGTCTGTTTTTTGAGTTCTTTATGTATCTAGTTCTTCTAGATATATAGAATTCTAGATGTATAGAGATATATATATATCTGAGGAATAGCTGATAAAAAATTTTTCCAATTCTATGGGTTGTCTCTTCAAAGCTACAATCATAAAAAACAGCATGGTACTTGGAAAAAAAAAAAAAAAAAGCAGGATCAGTGGAACAGAGGTAGAAGATGCAGAAACAACTCCAAGCACATTCAGCCACCTTATCTTTGACAAAGAGTCCAAACACCTTCACTGGAAGAATTTAATAAATAGTGCTCGAAAAAGTGGCCTTCCACATGCCAAAGATTGAAGCTAGACCCATATCCCTGCATTAAACTAAATCCATGCATTAAACTAAAATCAAAATAGATCAAAGATTGAAAAATTAAAATGGAAACACTAAATCTGCTGGAAGATAGAATAGGTAGAACTCTTGAAGACATAAGTGTAGGCAAAGACTTTAAGAAAAAAAAACCTCAATCTCACAGGAAATATTACAAAGGATCAACAAGCAGGATCTCATCAAATTAAAAAGCTTTTGCATAACAAAATGAACCATCAACAGGCAGCATGGAGCCCCCACTCCATCCTCATGCCCCGCCCACAGTGACAAACCTGCAGCCCCTGCCCCCCCCACCCCCCACTTCTGGCCTCCTGGCTGCGCCACTACCTGGTTCCACACTACAGAGGCACAGAAGGTCATAAAGGCCATTGTCCTGAGCTCCAGAAGATAGAACAGAAATGAACAACAGAAGGAGGGCCTCTTTCAGGCTCCTCAAGGCAAACTGAAGCCCACTGGAAAAGTGAAGAGAATCTCTTCATTAAAGGCACACCAGACCACCATACTTGGTAAGTTGGAGGGATCATCACCTCCCATCAAAACCTGGACTATCTTCAGGGGAAGGGCAACTGGAACCTCCAGCAGAATCTTGCAGAGTCCAACCCTGCAGGAGGACAGGGAGCTCAACTTGGGACTTGCAGCCAGAAATCTGCCTGAATCTCACGGGACTGCTACTGTTTTGCTGAGACTCATTGACTTATATCTGCACATGGCTGTCCACATTGTCTATTGTGACAGCAGAGACATACCCTGAAGGAGGCCCTTCATTTTTATTTGTTATTTGTTATTTGCAACATATTTTTTTCTTATTTTTAATTTTTTTCTACTCTTCTCAAATTTTTATTTTTCTCTTCCTTTTTTATCTCTTTTTTCTTTGTCTCTCTCACTTATTCTCTTGCTGTCCCACATTGTTGTTCATCTCCCTTTTTGTTCTTGTTCTAGACCTAATTTGGATTTCTTCTTTATTTTTCTTTTCTTCTCTTTTTCCTTCTCTTGATTGTCATTAATTTTAAAGGAAAGTAAATACAGTTTCTAGTCTCCCTATTGCTGTTAGGTTATTCTGTTCTTGTCTTTGTTCTTTCATTTTGCCTTTTCCTCTTGTCTTCAACAGTTTCTTAGAGTTTGCATCATCTCCCTGTATACTCTGGCCTCACTGCTAACCTTTCCCTATCCTTCTGCCTATCTATCCCTCCCTCCCCAATTCCTTCTATCTCTGCATCCCAAAGGGTAAAGTTGCTATACTGAAGAGTTTATTCACTATAAATATATGTTGGGCTGGTCCTCGATTTTGATTTAATTCACACAGTTAAAGGTGATAGATTAATAACTATCACAAATTGTCATTTTCTAAGCTGTGATTTATGCTATGGTGTTGCTGACTGTATCTTTTGGGCTAAGGTGTTGTGATTGCCTTCCTGGTATAATGAAAATGAGACACCCTCAGAGCCATTAGAGACTCAAAGCTGAAAGACCAGCTATATCTGGAAGACACCTCTGAAAAGCAATCATTCCGCAAGGGTTCCAAATACAAGCAACAAAGATGCTTACAATAAGCAATTTTGAAGTATCAACTCAGGAATTAAACCAAAGACAATACCAAAAACAAAAATGAGAAGACATTTAAGCAAGGCACAAACTAAGGCTTTCAGCCTACTAAAGGCAAATTCTGGGGGAAATGAGGTAGAAAAACATGACAATCAACCACCTGGACACCCTGAGTTGACAGCACAGGAAGTAACAAAACAGATGAATGAGGTTCTAGAAAAATTCAAAACAGAAATAATTTCCCAGATAACTACAGAGATGGTGAGCAGAGTGAAAGACATGATTAGAGGCTCTAGAACAAAAACAGATAAGAAAATAGATGAGCTCAGAAACATGCTGGAAGCCAGGAATGCCCAGCTTAAGAAAGAAAAGGAAAGCATGACTGCCCAACATAAGAAAGAAATGGAATCCATGAAACAGATTCAAATAGACATTCAGGAGATTAAAAACTCCATTGAAAGTATTCACAGCAGATTAAGGGAATGTGAAGATAGAATATCAGATATAGAAGACAAGATTGTGGTGAGTGACCATGAAAACAGAGATTTCTTACAAATAGTAAGGGACCACAAGAAATCAATCCAGCAGCTGCTAGATGCTGCAAAGAAGGATAACATAAGATTGATAGGAGTCCATGAAAAAACAGGAGAAAGTACAATTGACATAAAAAACTGTTCACATAAGTAATAGTGGAAAACTTCTGAGACAGAGGTAGAGAAATAGGCATAGAGATAACTGAGGTATATAGAACTCCAACTAGCCACGATCAAAAAAAATCTAAACCTAGACATATAACAGTCAAGATCCCAGAAAACCAACAGAAGAACAAAATCCTACAAGCAGTTAGAGAAAAGAAACAAATCACCTAT